CGCACACTCCCTCTCTCCCTCCCTTCCCCCACAATCCTAGGCCTCATCGTGTTTGTGCATATTTTGTCCTCATTACTGTTTCAGAGTCTTCTGACATGTGTGCTGGTCAGCTGGGTCAGTGGAGTTTCTGGTTTGGGCTGCTTGTGTTCATCAACCGTCTTGGGCACGTCCTGCTGCCCCCCAACCCCCGACTTGTGCTGTGTGCCTGTTTTTCTACTTTGAATTACTTTCTCCTTTTGCCTGTTTCTTGTCCTTCACCACCTCTTTCTTGTCCACCTACCTCTTTTTTTAAAACCTTGTCAGTCCGTAATCTGTATGGCACTCAGCATCAAGTTTCTGCAGATTGCTGCAAATGTTGGCTGTTGTCAATTTTGATTATCCATAGCAGGCAGTGGCATGAAGCATCGTGTTTCTGCCCATGAATTATCATTGCTTGTGCAGGTACTTGTCACTGCCAGCGAGGACTGCAGTTGCAGAGTGTGGACAGTTAATGGTGACCACTTGGCAACTATTCGCGGGCACATGTGAGTGGAATCTAGAGTCCAAGTCTCTGACTCTTGAATTTCGTTGAAATTTGACGGTTTGCTCCAAAAAACACCACAAAGGTCCTAAGTCAAGACAGCAGGCTGAAACAGTCGAATGCATGGAGGTTGGTGGCATAAAGAGAGGTAATTGTGTAACAATATACCAATGGCATGAATGGTCAGGTAACAATAGCATGAGGGCATTGAAGAGAGGTAACAATGACGTAACAATAAAGGGAGGTACGTACCGAGATAATAATTATTAATTACGTTGTCAACTGGGTGGAGTGGTTTGCCAACCCTCGTGTTTAAGCTCCTGTTCCACCAAGCGTTTGTCACCCACCGGAGGAGCCCAAACACGACGCCTCTTCCCTATTTCTTCTGCGTGGTTTGAGTATCAGCGACAAATTAAAATTTAAATTATTAAAAGAAAACTCAATGCATAGTCCAAAGTTGCTCTATGTGTGTCCTACTCAGTCTGCCAAGTTTCAGCTCAGTCTACTTTGCTGAGTCTACTGAGTCTGAGACTCTAATGTCATTAAATTTTGAGTCTGCCCAGTCCTTTGGGCCTGCTTAATCCGTACTTGTCTGCCCAGCATTAGAGTCCCCTGGCCCATAATTGAAACCGCTCAGCATATCTGAGCTCGCTGCCTCCTCACCGGATAGTCTTGCACATGATTAAAACACTTAACTCAGATTAGTTCAAAAATGTTGGTAGATATTAGGATAACAAGTGGACGTGCCGCAGCCACGCTGTGGCGAAGGACAATGACAAAAACATTTTGCGAAACACACCCCAGCCATCAGTTGGACCCCGTCTTTGCAATGTACCCATACCGGACGCTGCCCAACTTTGCAAAATGCGCCGGCAGTTGCCAATTTTTCGTAGGTGCAATTGCAAAAGGCCAAGCAAATTTGTCCAACTGTGCCCATATCTTTTAAGGACATTTTGACAAATATATCAACTTATGGGTGTATTTGGAAAATTACCCCCCTCCTCCCCCTGTCTCTTATACACCTGAACCCCCTAGCTCAGCAGTAGGATTACCCT